ACTATCAAACAATAAAATTCTGAGAAGCTTATCTTGGTAAGCTTACCAATCCTATAGCAATCTTTTAGACAATTACTTCCTGAACACACTACAGTTCTCTGAATTCTAAACACCAGCATACAGTCCTATTAACATAGCTGCAGCTCAGGTAAGGTCTTATCAAACAGGACTTTTTTTTTACTTGGACAATGCAGGGGTAAGGGAAGAAAGGCAAAAGACTAGAACAGGGATGAGGAATGAAAGACAAAAAGGGGGCTCTCTACATCAAACAAAAATGCCCACAGTATTGCCATCAATCTATAAGATACACCTATATATATATATAAAAAAAAAAAAAAAGGAAATTCCAGAAACTCAGTATTTGCCCAGGTATTTGCTACTTAAATTCCCCAAAACATCCTCATTTCATAGTGTAGACTAAATTTGGGATTTGCATATATGCAGTTCATACTGAAAGGTTCTTGTACTTTTAAGAGCGATAGCAAAAATATGATTTTTATCTGGTTTATCTTGTACTTCTTAGTTTTTAAAAAATACTCATCTTCACTGTTTGGTGGGAACACATTTAACATTTACTTACAAAAAAAATTCCTGTCTTTACACTCATTAGTAATTTTGTCTGAGTTAGAAAGATTCACTAAATCTGTACAGAAAGTACTTATGGTAATACATTTATTTGTGTTAAGTATACTCACACAAATCATCTATCCAAATGTACCTTTTCATTACTAAAAAAAAAAAAAACCCAAATTAAAATATGCACTGAAAAACAGAGGAAGAATCAAAGAGAGCTAAGCTATTTTTAAGCTTGTCTCAAGTACTGAGATAAACCAATGTAGAGAAGTTGACTTAGATGCGTATTATTATAGAATAGTTTTTTTAAGCAAAACCAGAATCTATGGTGAGTGTACCATCTACATTTCTGGTAGTTTCCACTGATCACCTTATCAAGCAATATTTGAGTGCAAAATCATACAGATGTATACTAGACAGTATTTTTTTTAAAAAGGCCCAAACACTTTTCAAAATCCCTCATCTGCACTTAAAAACACCACTTAAAATCTTTCCGGCATTTCTTAAATTAGTATATCTAATCTGTTTACCCCTGCTTTATTTAAAGAGAATAAAAGAAGGGAAAGCTTATGCAGTTTATCAGCTAGCGATCAGTTTCCAACCTCTGAACAAACAACTTCAACCGAGACTGTATTTGTTCTGCCTATTCTATGTATGTTAAAATTGTAACCGAGGATGACAAAAAGCTGTCTTACATCCTCTAACTCAACTAACACCAGCTGGAAAATATAAGCAGAAAGAGTTATTCTAGTGCAAAATCTGAATTTTACAAATATTTGTATCGCATTCCAGCAAGTGACACTACAATACTTGAGTCAAGACTGCAGAGATATTTCTCCTGATTCCATCTGTAACTTGAAGTGCAAAAGCCTTAAAATTTGTAATGGGATCACTAATGCAACTTGGCTAAAAGTTCTGAAATGTCAACAGCTGTAGTACATTTCAGCCCTAGAATCTCAAATTAAAAGCTATGTCTTTAATTGAAAAATACTAATGTACTGACATTCACCTATACTCACAGAAAACTGATATAAAAAGCTACACAAGTTGCAACGTGCTGTTCAGAATACACAGGCAGTTTACAATCGCGTTCTCCAAAAATCTCACATCTTTTGTATTCTAGTTCAGCTCAAATTTGGAAGCTGAAGAGTGTTGAGTTAAAATCTTAATAATGACCCCTTTGAAATATACTCTCACTTCAGTTTATGTTCACAAGTTCCCAAAAATGCGGTATACAAATCAGGTGAAAGTGTTATGAAGCAGGACAGTTTGGTACTTTGCCTGCAGGGAAGGATTTCTCTAGAGCTACAAGGCAGCTACATTCAGTTTTCCTGCCTCCCAGCATCCTCAGCTGTAAAAGCCCCTGGACAACACAACCTTCTCCAAGTCGCACAGAAACACTAGGCACGGACAACAGCTTACCCACAGCATAAACAAGAATGTGTGAGCTGTAAAAGGTAGTCCCAGAGACTAGATCTGTGTGTGGTCAAGAAGTATGTAATGGAAGAGTATGGATGAGGCAACAGCACCAGGGCCTCACCTGAGAAGGTCTAGAACATGAACTGGTGGAAAAAGTAATGGTAGGTTAGAGGAGAGTAAAAAAAGAACACAGGAAATTATATGGAGTTAATGCCCTAACGCAGCAGGATTATTAAGGCTGTAAGCAGATAAAGACAGACAAACTTGTCACACATTGCAAGGTGGAGGGTGAGCAGTACCAGTACGGAGAGGAAGCAGAGACATTTCTTTCACAGAAACATGGCCTGCTATTTGTGCTGCTGAAGGAGACACAGGAAACTTACGTCTCCTCCAGGCTTAATGCTAAGGCTCTTGTTTTTATCCTTTATTAATAAACAGTATTTTCTTCCATATTCTTCTGAAAGGCAAAGCCAAACAAAATCCCTTCTCCTAAAAAGAATTAATGAATTAAAAATAGATTGATTAAATTCCTCTTTATGATAGCCACAGCTGATTTAACACTCCAAATGTTATCTCCATGTTTTGGAGCATTTTTAATGCCACAGTTAACAACGATGTATATTGGGAGAAGGAAAGAAAAAACAACTTCATAAAGATTTTTTCAAGGGAAAAAATAAAAACAGGTGGGTTACTGACGTGCAAAACTTTAGCTACCTCTCTACTTTTTCTTCAAAAGCCTCCTTTAATTCTATGCCCAACTGATCTTACAGTATATGCCTCAAAAACACTCAGCAATGAACCTAGGATAAATACGCACAACATAACACCGTCATAAACATTACAAAAGCAATGATTCCTTGCTGATTTAACAGCTGGAATATAGTGCCTAATTCTATTGTTTTTTTGTGTAACAGTAGAAATAAAAATCACCATCTTGGGTAGTACTCAAGTTATTTTCTATCACTTATTGGAAAAGCACAAAACAAACAAAAAACACAAAATAAAACAAAGCACTCTAACATCTCACAAACTCTTTTTTGCTCCTGCCTTGCCTCTTCCTCGATTTAAAATAACCTTTAAAAAACAAAATTAATGTTTAAAACCAATTCTAAGTTCCCCAGTTAGGAAACAGGGCAAAAAAAAAGTATGCCTTAGAGGAACTGGAAACAATTGGGAACAGAACAGACATCAAGGCAGAAGTGGATTTCAGGATCAGATTATATCATAGAATCACAGAGTGGTTAGGGTTGGAAAAGATCATCTAGTTCCAACCCCCTGCCATGGGTAGGGACGCCTTACACTAGACCATGTCACCCAAGACTCCAACCTGGCCTTGAACACTGCCAGCGATGGAGTATTTGCCACTTCTTTCGGCAACCCATTCCAGTGCCTCACCACCCTCGCAGTAAAGAACTTCTTCCTTGCATCTAACCTAAACTTCCCCTGTTTAAGTTTAAACCCCTTACTCCTTGTCCTATTGGTACAGCCCCTGATGAAGAGTCCTCCTTCAGCATCCTTAGAGGCCCCCTTCAGATACTGCAAGGCTGCTATGAGGTCTCCATGTAGCCTTCTCTTCTCCAGGCTGAACAGCCCCAACTTTCTCAGCCTGTCTTCATACAGGAGGTGCTCCAGTCCCCTGATCATCCTCGTGGCCCTCCTCTGGACTTATTCCAACAGTTCCATGCCCTTTTTATGTTGAGGACACCATAACTGCACACAATATTCCAAGTGAGGTTCCACAAGAACAGAGTAGAGGGGCTGGATCCCCTCCCTCGACCTCCTGGTCATGCTTCTTTTGGTATCAACAACTTTACTGACCCTTAAGAATGACAAAAAACCCTCTGCTTGGATGAAAGTAGAACCTCAGTTCTCCTTTGAAAAAGAATCATGCTAAAATTCAAAGTTTTAAAGTTACCTCTCTGTATATGTATATAAAACTATACCTATGCATACTCAAATCACAGGTGCTTGCCTGAATTCACATCAAGTCCAAAATAACCGACTTAACATGCTGAAAGACACAAACTGAATTGCACATCACAACATACGGTTACTCCAAGACACAGCAGTTACATAAAGATGATGCGTTGCACTCTGGCCCCCTCCATAAAAGTAGGTAGAGCATCATGGCTCTAAAAATACAGCCCTCAGGAAGGGAGCTTGGACTTACTGTTTCCCCACCATTCCTAGCCCTACTGCACCCAAATCCCTGCCTATGGCAGGGGGCTTGGAACTAAATGATTTTAAGGTCCTTTACAACCCTAAATATTCTGTGGTTCTAGGATTCTAAATGGGAAAGAAGGAAAAAAACACCAAGGGACATGAAACACCTCCAAAGGAAAAACACCTCTAAAATGTGCTCAGCATCAAACCAGAAGAGGAAGCGCAAAGCATCCATGTTGTGTTGCACTGGCTCCAGATCACTCTGGAGCATGGATTCACTTTCTTTGTCTACCCAGGTGTATTAAAACAAGACTGTTAGTACAGCTAAGCAGAGCAAGATCAGCAGCAGTTGGTAGCACTACAAGGAGAGTAAGATGGCTACTAGGAAAGCAGCATGAGATGAGCAAGAGTGATGTAGCCACACACTCCGGAACAGAAAAGGCTGAAGCCACTTCTGTGCCCCTGTCTGCCCTGCACACAAGCATAAAAGAGGTGAGGTAAGCAGCACAACTCTAGCAGTTTGCTGCTGAACTTCGTTTTCTCCCATTAAAGTGGCCATTACATGTCCGCTTACAAAGGGGTGAACACAGACTATGTACAGTGCAGCACACTGAAAAAGAAAAACCAGGAGACCCCACGCAGACCCAGCTCTGCAGCTGCCTCACCGGCCACAACCCGCACCCTACGACGAAGCCACCGGCCAGGGTAAAGAGGAGGAGCCGCCGCTCCCTTCCCGCCCCCGCCCGCCAGTGGGTTCCTTGGGACCTCTCCCTCCCTGCCCCACCTTAGGCGGCCGTCCCACAGTGCTTCGGCGTCGCGCAGGGGTCACCGCGGTAGTGGGAGAGGGGCGGCCGTGACGCTGCCGCCTTCCCCTCGTTACCTTTGTGCTCGTCATCCAGGTAGCGTATCCGCAGCTCCTCCTCTTCCTTCGCCTCGGAGCCGTAGCTCTTCCCGGCCGAGGGGACAGTGGCAGCGGCGCCTCCCCGGACCGTCGCCCGTTGGCCGGGACGGCGGAAGGAGGAGGTCGCGGCGGCTGTGGCTGCCAGCCTGACTCGGCCTTGCAGTAGGCCCAGGCCCCGCAGCGCCGCCGCCATGCTGCCGCCCGCGCCGCCTCAGTCTCTCGCGACCGCCGGCCCCGGTCCCGCCACCCACGTGACCCCCGGCTCCCTCCTTCCTTCCCCCTCCCGCCGCCGCTGCCGAGGCGCGAGGGCCGTACGCTCTGCTGGCGGGCCCCCGGGGCGCCGCTGGCTGCGGGCGGGGACGCGGGAGGCTGCGGGACGGGACGGCGCAGGGCAGGGCTTGGGCCTGGGCTGGCGGTTCTAGCCGTGGTGTCAAGCGGGCCAGGCGCTGCTCTCCTAGCCGCAGGTGGCGAGGGAAGGCTCGTTAGCCGGCAGGGATCCGGAGGGTTGCGCCCGCAGCGTGAAATACACTGGCACATAGAAAAGTCTCACACCGGGAAAACCTGCTGTTCAGTTTTACTGTGAGTTATCGGTAATGGTGGAAATTACCACATACCTATCTGTGGTGAACCTGCCTAGACCCCATGTCATGGGCAACATGCTGCGGCTCTGTGACGCCAGAGTAAATGTGCACAGGCTCCTCTGCAGTCGCTTCTGTTCAACTACTGCAGCCATGGCCAGGCCTGGCAATGGCATCAGCACTGACCACATCAGTGACAGTCAACAGCACAACCGTGGTACAAGTTACAGGCTGCGGTCAAAACCACAACAGCAGGTAGCACCTGGTTCTGCATGCTGAGATAAAAGGCTTCTGGCTTGGTTTCTTTGCGTTGCTCTATGCCCACCCTCCTCTTTCTAGGCACTCTGAATTGCTTTCTAGGTAAATCTGTCTCTTTGCAAAAGTAAGGGTCAAACTAATGCGGCCTGGTATTCAGAACTGAGTCTAGTTGTTTTAGAAACCCCGCCATGGGGTCTCTTTGCCATCCATGCACACTGACAGGCATACCGACATGAAGCGAGTCAGAGGATGTAAGTGGTTAAGGAGCACGTAGGAGATAGGTGCCATCTTTAATTGCAAATGCAAATGTTACAAGACTATTATGACCTGTTTCAATAGGACAGTAGAATTTCACCTATCCATATGCCAATACCACAACATTTACAGGTACCAGAGTATATATGTATTAAATGAGTTCACTTGACTCCTTATGTAGGACTTGAGAAAGGTTGCCATAGCTGTGATTAGTCTGGGACAGTAATGAGACTTAAAAAGCTGTGAAGTTTGTCTTCAGTTTATTAACCTGGAAAAAATGGGCTTTGAGAATTGAAAACATGCCAGTGAGCCACGTCCTGTCATTTTCAAAACTCAGTGTTACTTAATCAGGGGGACAGAACTTGTTCCACTTCTGAGCAGAGGGTCAGATGCAGCCATTTGGTTGTTTGCGAAAGCCAGTCACTGCATTCCTCTCCTTCATGCAGTTGCTCAGCAGCTCTTCCACTGCTTTTCTTCTGGAGAAATGAAAGCCTAAAAATAGTGACCTCTTTGTTCTTCTAGAGCACCATGAAGGGCAGATGTAGGGGGAGAAACAGGCAGACTATCGCCTTGCATTTATTATGTTTTACTATTTAAACTGGACTATAGCTTGTGATTAACAGCCTATGCCAATACAGCCTGCAGTATGCTGAAGTCTTTGCCAGCAGAAAGGAATAAAGAATGCCTGACCTGGAAATTTTGTTCACAGTCAACATTTTATTTTATGAGAACAAATTTTGAAATACCACACCCAATTATGTCAATAGAAATAGGGACAGCACCGTTCTAAAAGTCACAGAATAAGGTAGAAAGACATTAAAAGCAGAACTAGATTGACTACATACCATAACGTTGCCTTGAAACTGGGCAGATGTGGTGTCATTTGCAGTGGTTCCCAGACTCAAGAACTAGTGGATGCTTTCCTGAGCAGAGGTCAGTATATGGAATCAAGCCCAACAGAATAGCCTCGTCTGTTGTAAAGCACCCGCAGTCATGGTTAAAGCTAAAAGAATTTTAGAAGTACAATTTTCTTGTACACCATCACTGTATGTTTAAAGCTGCATGATACTTGTCTTAAGTGTGTTTTGTTTTGGTAATTTAATACTACAGTGCCTTTTGTAATACTGTGTAGTTAGTTCCTCTCATTGAACTGACATACGGGCATGAATCAAGACTTTTTGGATCCAAGTGAAGTTTCCATATTCTCTTGCTGTTTTTTTTTCACTGAAGTTTAGTTCTAGCAACACAGCTTTAAAGTCAAAGTGGTACATGGAAAGCACATTTAGTTACAGAGGGAAAGTCTATTGACATGCAAACTGTTATTTACACATATATACTAATAAGAAAAACAAACTGGGCAACTGGAACAGAACTGTTAAGCAGCAGCCTAATAGTGTATGACAGTGCTTGGTAACCTGGTTCCTGCTGCACACGGAAATCCAAATATTGGTACTTGGTGATGAGTAAAATAAATTGATTTAGCACAACTGTATAAATCTTGACTCAGCCTCCCTTATACCCAGAGAAGCAATGTGAGCATGAATGAAAGTCGAGCCAGTGTAGATGGAGAACAGCTCAGCAGTTCTCTGCACTCAGCTCTAACTTTTAATATGGTCAGTCAATCATAATCTAATCCAAGGGAAAAAACTTGAAGGTCCTTCACCTTAATTAATTTTACTTTTGAAATTACCCGGAAAACCACATTCGCATCAGGTTGCAGGTTCTCACAGTGTACGGGACTGAGACTGAAAAGGGAAAAATGCAGCCCCTTTTTTAGCTTCACTCACAGCTTTTGTTCAAAAATGCAACCTGAAGGGAGGGGAATTTGAGTAGGGGAATGGTGTCCTTTTTCTGGTTTTGATACAGTACTGTTGCAACTTAGGCAACACAGCTTGTATGTGCAGAAATCAGAGGATGGCCTACATGGTTAGTGAAGAGAAGTTTATTGTTCAACATGCTTCAGTGCTGGGCACCTGCCGTGATTCACTTTCAGGGTTACAGTCTCACTCTGTAAGTATAATGGTGAGTGTGGCCTCTAAGGTCTAAATTAGGTACCTAAAACTAGGGAGGGTGAAAAGTACTTGTGGATGTTCAGTTCGGCATCTAGTATTACTAAAAATACTAATAAAACATTTGAAATGAGACAGAAGAATAGCTGTTATACTAATTTGCTACTTTACAGGTGACAATGAAAAGGTACAGACAGGATGTACAATGCAGCAGGAATAAGGATGGAAAGGAATCTCAGCTGGTTCTAAGTGGCTTTGATTTTATTACATTGTGCACGTAGATGAGGTGCAATGAATAGTTTCATTTTTCCTGGATGAGCACGTCAGCGGCAGCATTTAACCAGATGAAAAGGGAACACGTGCTATGGAAAAATGAAGCATGCAATTTTGGGTTTTCAAGCTGAATCACTTGTCTCTGTAAAGTGACTGTTGATATTTGAGAGCGAGATCCGTTTAGCGACCTGTTCTCTTAAGTTGGTTTATAAAGGTGGTTTCAGTTTCACACCACCCACCAGGAGCTTTTGTCTCTTCTAATTTTCACATCTTTCCTTTTTATTAATGGCAGATTTTTTCTGATTATTATGTTACCCAGTTAGCACACCTACATTTCCAATCTTGATTTTTAACTTTTTTTAAAGCCTTTTTCGTCTTCTTTAAATACTGATACTGGGAAAACAAGTCCGTTGTTGTTGTGTATTATTAAGCATGTAGCACACACAGCATGTTCCCCTTTCTGGCACCACGACTATTCACAGTGTTTTGCAGGCAGCTGTTTCCTTAGATTGTCTGTTTTCTTTCTGCTCAGTGCAGTGTTGAGATTATAATGCTAAACTGTATGATGGGTTTACAGCTTACTTTTTCTTCTCAGAAATTATTATTGCTAAGCTCAGACTAATTGGGTATGCTTACAAGTTTGTTTACGTGGCACTTATTACCTTGTTCCAACGTGTGTAGATGAAAACGTACTTTTGTGTCACTCATACTTTGGAGTAAAGGACAGATTTTGTCTTTGCATTCATGTCAACCCCATTTATTTGTGCATATGATCTTGCATCTTGAAAATGGAGACAACTGCATTCATTGAATTGATGTAGTTCATCCTGGCATACATAAGCCAGGGACTTCTTACTTGCTTCCCAGACATGGAAGGCAGCATAAACCATTCTCTGCAGATCACAACCAAGGCAGAATGCTAAAACAATTGCAGGAACATAAACGTGCTGAACAAGCCTTCTTGCATGGGTAAATTGGCAGTAGTTGCCACAGACCTACAAACATGTAATACTGGAAGATCAGAGCCTTAAGAGGGCCTTAGGTGCTTGTAACAGGAATTCGGCAGATACTCTGTGAAAAAAAAATACAAAATGTTTTCTTCTGGGACAAGGCACGTAGTTTATCCCAAAAGGGCATGAAAAAAAGGTATTTATTTCTGTGGTATTTAATGTAAGCAAAGGTAGTGGGAATAGAGAATTGATGAACACCAGAGATTGCTAAAAATTGAAATATTTGTGTCTAATTACAACTCCAAGTCTTTGATTGCAATACAGGTCTTCTTTTGCCAAGCTTTTAAAAAGCTTTCTTGTATTTTTGAAGTAGCTCAACAGAACAAATATTCACCGGCTTGTTTAAATAATGATGCATTCAGGCAAATTGCCATCAAACTGCAACATCATTGAATGCTTTCCTTAAAGTGAATGTATGCTGTTCGGCTATTTATAAATGTTGTTAAAATCGTTTATTTTCTTCATGATCAGGATTCTAGAGAAGCCTTTGTGTGAAGCAATACTCCCCTTCCATCTTTATGTCCTTTTGAAGAACTCCAGAGCCAACTATATTGTTAACTGTATCTTAGAGGATCCTTGCTTTGACAGCTGGTAAGGTAAGCTCTAATATGGTATAGGGAAGTCAGTGAAAGCTGCACAAGAAGCACAGAAACCAAGTAGCACACTGCTGCTGTAACTGGCATTTGATTTAAGATAGTTGATATGAAATTGTAATATAAAATAAATTTACCAATTTTATCTGGGTGGGTGCATGTGTGGTAAAAAGCTGCGTGGGCCTCTGCTAAGGAGGCAGTAAAACAATCCTGTCAAATCTATACTATCTAGAAGAATGCAATAGAGCTAGTTATTAGCCCAGAGAAGGAAGCACTTTGGAACAAAGAATTACTCATTTAATAAACACAATATCTAAATGCAGAGAGTGGGGTTTCCTTCCAAGCAACCATTTGGTTAAATAAAGGGGCAATTCATCTGGATAATGTTTTGTTTAAAAGTTTTTGAATTAAAGCAGTAAAGGATATTTCAGTAGAACTTGCAATGAAGCAAAAATGACATCATTGCAGTCAGGAGATGAAAAATACTCTAATGCTTCTGTCCTGGTGTAATGTGATTTCTAGTGAAAAGAACTTACAAAGAAACTCTGCACTATTTAAAGGCAATACATTTGTCATGAAATCCAGGTTCTTACTAGGAGATAAGAGAAAACTGGTCTTTTATGCTCAAGCCATAAAATGTTACATAAAAATCAAAAGCACTTCATAGACTGTTTTTATCAGATGTAATTGTTTATTAGTCTTCATGAGCAAGCCAGGAGTTCAGATGTATGTTACATTTCTGAATGGCATAATTATATTTCCCTTCTGTTCAGCTAATTTCTTTTTTTTCTTTCCTATCAGGTGGTTTATGTCAGAACACAATAACTGAGCTTACGGTGGATGTACTGTAGATAATACCTGAAGTTTCAGATACTGTTTACCTTTTTGTAAAAGCTGCAGCAATTTTTAAGAAAGTCATTGCATGGTTACTACTTGAAAAATATGTCACATTATGGGCAAATCACTTGAAGATAAATTTTAAGCTATTATGATGTAAAATGTATTTATGTTCTTTGCTTTTCTTTTTTAGTATTTTATAATTAACTATGTCATGCTGAGATCTACTGAATATATTTCATTCTAAGAAATGCCTCACATTCATTTTCACCCCATATGCGGAAGATACTGGGGACTTTTTTGATCTTCTGTTCAGTTTCATTAGATTAGGATATATTTTACATTCTAACCTTAACTTTATTTTCCTGCATTCTTTACCCTCTGCATATTGATGCAATTAACAGTATGATAAGCTGAGCAAGCATTTTCACTGAAAGCTTATCTATCATATAGAACTCTTGTCATATCAAAGAATCTGAGTGACCTTGTGACCTGAATTTCCAGGGTGGAACAAAAGGTTAAATACTCACCGTCTTCATATCTCACATGGATACAAGATATGGATACAGATGGTTTGGCATCTACGTAAGCTAAGGACTCCTATGTTTTGTCAAAATGGTTTTATCGTAACCCATCTTCTACTTAACCACCTCATTTAAGTCATTTGTCTATGTAAGAAAGCAAGATTCTTAAGATCAAGAGCAATGAACCTAGTAACTGGTATGTGAAAATAAAAGCAAAATACATACTGAATGGCTAGTACTTTATGTACCTAGGCACACACTGAAAACAGAGTTATTCATCAATACCGGTAAACAACCATTTCCAGCACAACAATTTTCAGATTTCTGGTTTCTTAGCATTCTTTAAAGGCATGTTTTTGTAGTTCTTCAAAATCAGAATCTCATCTAGGAATCAGTTTTTGCAGTTTGTGAAAATTAGTCATCAATTAAAGAAAAACTATCTACAAAAATTAGCCTGTCTTCAGAGTCATGGTTAACATTTCTTTATAGATAGTATCGTTTTGTGTATGTCACTTTGTCTGGAAGATGAAACTACATTCCAGTTACCTTATGCCCTGTGAAGTATGTTTTATTTGCTAAGCGCAACACAGCAAATTGTGTCTTCTCAGCCCTACTGGCAAAAAAAAAGTGTATGTATCTAAGCACTTCAGTGAAGTGAAAGACTTAAAAAAAACTAAACCAGGTTTCCAAGCCAGATTGTGAGGCTAATATTGCCCACAATTGCCTACTTCAGAAATGGCCCATAACTTTCAGAACTTTATAGTATTTGTGCTGTTTCAATGCCATACCTGAAAAAAAAAAAAAATAATAAAAAGTATATGGTTTCCTTCATCGAAGTCTTTCAAACATGCCATTTTCCTGTGGTATATGTAGCTAACAATAGGTGGAAGAAGTAAAAATATGAACAAGAATGGGATGCTTCCATGTTCTGAAGTAGTATGTTAAAATTGTTTAGTGAAAGAAATTCCCAAGGTGTTCAGCAGAGCTAGTAAACTCCGCACTGGAATACACATTTAATACAGTTGGGTATATTAAGACAGTTCTTGATGTTACTCTTAATCCATGTATTAATCTAATCTACATAAAGTAGGGATTCTGTGTTTTGTTTAAAATGCTTTCATCATAACCTTTTTTCTGTTTGAACACACCAGTGTAATTAGGATTTGTATTTCTTGCAACAGAGATGCAGAATACCTTTCTTCTCCCTTATCCTGCACCCTCTGTCAGGAAAGCTCAAGGGAGACATGCTGTACTTCTTTGAATTCATGCATCTCTGACAGAGCAGGACTAAAATTGACAGTCCCTCCAGTAGCCACTTCACAGGAACATAACAATACTGTAAAGCTTTTGTAGTCTTGATATCACCACAGCATCTGGTTCCTCAGTTATGTGAGCCTTGTCAGTATAGTTTCAGTTCAGCTGCGCATTTTAGGATGGGGCAGAAACAGCATGAAACATCTGAGGATATGTCACTGCTTTGACTCTGCAATGAGATTTTTAGTAAAATTTCTAGTGCAACCAGTAGCTCTTTAGCCTGGAAAATGAGGAGCAGGAATCTGACCCAACAGAAATCTACATCCATGTGTATGTTTGCATTATACTCAAGCCACCTCGTAGTAACAGATTTCAGTTAAAGGGAATGTCATTTAAAGAAAACAGGATTTTTTTTTTTTCCATGACATAAATTAAATTGTGCTGCATTAGAAATATTTTTAAAAGAAGTAGTTTTACTACTCTTCATATGTTAAACCTATGGCATTTCTTAACGTAAAGTTACTAAGACACATCAATGTACAGCTGTATTTCCTAGTGGTTGCCTGTGTTCCCGTTTTTCAGAATTCAACCTGATATGTTTTAAGTATGATTTTTCAGAGGTGATGAGAACCTGCTACCTCTACTGAGCTTAGTTACAGCTGTAAGTAGTCATGAAAATCCACTGTGTCTTGCATTAGGTACGTAAGAAAAAACTTAATTAATATGTCTGAAACTTCTGGCAACATCTGAGTGCCACAGATGTTACATCAAATATTGTGAACATCTGAAATAAATAAGCAGAATGTATGGACCATCACACAGAACTATAATGTTAAAAATGGAAGTGTATTCATTTCTTCACCCTTTTAGCAGAACATAGTTGTGCTCTAATAAAATCTTACTTGCTCATAGTCTTGTTTTCCTTTTATCATGTGCTGAATTCATCATAATCCTGTGTTTAAAGCATCAGTCTGTTGCCATGGAAGTTACTGTCACAAATTTAGTTAGAACTTCATGAAGGATCAAATATAAAATGTGGCTAGAGAAGAAGAAAACCATTGTTCAAATAGCAAAGCTTAGGTAACAAGCTGAAAGGAGAAAGTGCACAGGGATATACGAAGAGTAAGGGAATTAATTATTTAATTCTGCTGGAGGAAAATTCCCCTTTAAAATTTTCAAATACAGAGTGATGTTTCTAGAGATAGATAAAAAACATTATGTGTCATAAACCTGAGCGTTCTAAACTTTCACACCTTGAACTGTTGTATATACCAAAACAGAAATTTACAAAATAGCCATGATAGTGAAAAAGAAGTGAAGGGAGGTGGGTTTTCGTAGTGAAAAGAGTAAGAAAATAAATAAGCTTTAATTAAGAAATGGTATATATAATATTTATTAATTACTGAGAAAACCATTTACAGGTTTATTCAAATTAATTTTGACATAAAAAGTGACATTTCTTGGAGATCAGATTTTGCATCTTTTTAGTAATTTTTACTGTATCTAAGACTTTGATGTCATGGACTGACTGAAAACTTCTTACTGGCTTTATTATGTGGTCTGTCAAGGCTTGTCAGAGCATGTTTTGGAGAAAAAATGCACTTACAGGGTGCTCGGTGGCACTGACTGAGCTACTTTTCCATTCCCAGTATAGAATGTAACTAACTGTTATATTGTTATTAATAGAAAATTAGTAACAAAGGTAAAAACCAGATTAATTATAAGAATCTGAAGACAGCAATTTTGGGGGGAAAAAGATATAAAGGAGGTGCTGCAACCTTCGAAATATGTATATTGTAAATATCCTCTTAAGTGGCAAAGCAATTTATTTCATAATTATAGGACTAAGAAGCCTTATGAATAGGATAAAATTTAAAAAATACGTTGTTTGCCTCAGTATTTCCCAATTGGCTAGCTGTCGTGGTTTAAACCCAGTCAGGTAACTTGTTCACTCACTCCCAGTGAGTGGTGCCGAGCTGACAACAATCAAGGTCCGTGTTCGTCTCCCCCACCCTCCCTGCACCAGGGCTCTCCCCTTCCCCGCTCCCGGAGGAACGGGGAGGAGGATCGAGAGAGTGCAACTCCTACGGGTTGAGACAAGAACAGTCCAGCAACAAATCACCACCGCTACTATCAGCTAAAACAATGATAAGGGAAAATAACAAGGGAAGAGAATACGATACCACCGGCCAAGAAAACGAGTTCCACCCGGAAGCCCCTGTCCTTCCGGGCAACTCCCAGTTACCCCCCACCCCGGGCATGACGTGCTGTGGTATGGAATACCTCCCCGGCTAGCCCGGGTCAGGCGCCCCGTCTCTGCTTCCTCACAGCTTCCCCTCCTCCCTGGCAGAGCATGAGCCTCACAAAGTCCTTGGTCAGGGTAAACATCACTTAGCAACAACCGAAAACATCGGCTTCACCAACGCTGTTCTCAAAACTAGAAGTCAAAACACAGCACTGCACCAGTTAACACAAAGGAAAAAACATGACTGCTACTGCTGAACCCAGGACATTATCCACCCCTTATTCCATACCATTCACGTCGTGCTCAGATCCCACATTTTCAATACACCATCGCTCTCCCACATATATACATCCATATACATACAGACCAAGAGGAAAAAAATCATTTTCTTAGTGCATGGACCAATCCCTATAATGCTGCCGAGTCCATTCGGTCCATGATGTTCCAAGTTCATTCTCTGTTGGGATGATGGCTGGAGGGAAGTCAGGGCCAGTCGCTGGTGACCTGGAGACATCTAGTTGATGGGCTATAAAAGCATTACACAGCAGGCAACAGCATACAATTGAGTTCACTGGCTGTTTTCCCCTAATATCAAATCCCCTTGAGGTATACATCGGACTTCCCCATCTTCCCGCATTACCCACCAAGTATATCCAGGTCCCTGAGCAAAAGCAATCCCACGAGTGGGTTTGCCTTTACCTGAAGCAGGAATAACCCAGACTGTCTTCCCCAGCAAATTCTTCATATGCACCACGGGAACTCTGTCCCCCTCTACAATATGTAAAAGTTCTGACTGGGCTGGGCCAGCCCTGTTGGCAGATCCTCTGGTGTTGACCAACCAGGTGGCCTTTGGTAAATGTGTATCCCAATGCTTGAAAGTTCCCCCACCCATCGCTCTCAGTGTAGTTTTTAACAGCCCATTGTACCGTTCGATTTTCCCAGAGGCTGGTGCATGGTAGGGGATGTGATATACCCACTCAATGCCATGCTCTTTGGCCCAAATATCTATAAGGTTATTCCGGAAATGAGTCCCATTGTCTGACTCAATTCTCTCTGGGGTGCCGTGTCGCCACAAAATCTGTTTCTCAAGGCCCAGGATGGTGTTCCGGGCAGTGGCATGGGGCACAGCGTATGTTTCCAGCCACCCGGTGGTTGCTTCCACCATGGTAAGCACATGGCGCTTGCCTTGGCGGGTTGGTGGCAGTGTGATATAGTCAATCTGCCAGGCCTCCCCATATTTATACTTCAACCATCGTCCTCCATACCAAAGAGGCTTTAACCGCTTGGCTTGTTTAATTGCAGCACATGTTTCACACTCATGAATAACCTGGGCAATAGTGTCCATTGTTAAGTCCACCCCTCGGTCACGGGCCCATCTATATGTTGCATCTCTGCCCTGATGGCCTGAAGTGTCATGGGCCCACCGGGCCAAAAATAATTCACCTTTATGTTGCCAATCTAAGTCCATCTGAGCCACTTCAATCTTAGCCGCTTTATCCACTTGTTGGTTGTTCTGGTGTTCCTCAGTGGCCCGACTCTTGGGTACATGGGCATCTACATGACGTACCTTCACCACCAGATTCTGCACCCGGGCAGCAATATCTTTCCACAGTGCAGCAGCCCAGATGGGTTTACCTCTGCGTTGCCAGTTGCTCTGCTTCCATTGCTTCAACCACCCCCACAGGGCATTTGCCACCATCCATGAGTCAGTATAGAGATAAAGTACTGGCCACTTTTCTCGTTCAGCAATGTCCAGGGCCAGCTGGATGGCTTTCACCTCGGCAAATTGACTCGATTCACCCTCTCCTTCAGCAGTTTCTGCAACTTGTCGTCCAGGACTCCATACAGCTGCCTTCCATCTCCGATGCTTTCCCACAATACGGCAAGAGCCATCAGTAAACAAGGCATACTGCTTTTCACTTTCTGACAGTTTATTATATGGTGGGGCCTCTTCAGCACGCACCACCTCCTCCTCTGGTGACATTCCGAAATCTTTGCCCTCTGGCCAGTCCATGATGACTTCTAGAATGCCTGGACGACTGGGATTTCCT